ACGAAGTCATTTCCTGATCTCTCTATCAGTATACCCGATTTGATAAACTTTTACCGTTCTTTTTCATTACACAATTACATTCTTATCAAATTTTGTAGATTTATTTTCATTCTACGACTTTGGAATCGATATAGTCCAGAGATTTAGGTGCTTCGGAATAATTTATAGCTCTCTATAAATTTATATTATCAGTGATGTCGAGCACGTGGCCCTTAAAATCTCGGAATGAGATTACCAGCAGACCAGAGTTTCAAATTAATTTTATTAAAATGACAAAATAGAATTCGGAAAAATTTCCTCACGATGTTTAAATTTTTATAAATTCATTATGGAAGAAATAAAGTTACCACTGACTTGCATCATCTCTAATAGCAACACGATTGCCATTTGTTTCAAAGAAACTAGAGGGGTTTCTTTCATCCTCCCATTAGTATTTCCTATTCGTATAAAAATTGCTCCATGTACAAGCGAAGTTTCTCCTAATATACTGTATCGATACTTCATTCTTCGCAGCCAATTAGACACGAGCAATAGCCTCGAGTGTATATCGCGACAGTTGCCGAGCTCTGCCACCACCCCACGACCCAGTGACTCCCACCACCCCTCTACACGCGCACTCCACTCATCGCTTCACATCGATCCCGAGATCCGACGAGAAAAGAACGAGCTTCGAGGCTCAGAAGTAACGTCAAATTTCACGAACCTTTTTCCATCCAGTGGAAGAAGAAAAAGAGAGATAAAGTCGAGGATGTACGAATTGACTGGGAAACTCGATTGGTCCCACGTGCACGGCCCTTCCCCCACCCAGAGAAAGACGGAAAAGAGAATCGGAACCGAGGAGGTACGAATTCACTGGAAATCTCGGTTGGGATCACGTTCGCAATCCTTCCTCCATTTAGAAAAAGAAGGAAGAAAGAGTCGGAACTTAGGAGGTACGAATTCTACTAGGAAACTCGGTTGGGCCCACGTATGGGAAGCTTCCTCCACTCAGTGGATGAAGGAAAAGAGAATCAGAGCCAAGGAAGTATGAATTGAGTTCGGAGTCCAAAAGCAACGCCGAATTTCATCGGGATATTCCATTGGGACTACATCAACGAATCTCCTCCCACCCAGAGGAAGAAGGAAGGAAGAGTCGGAGCTCAGGAGGTAGGAATTCACTAGAAAACTCGGTTAGGCCCACGACCACGAATCTTCCTCCATCCAAAGGATGAAGCAAAAGAGAATCGAAGCCGAGGAGGTACGAATTGAGTTTGGGCCCAAAAGAAACGTCGAATGTCATCGGGAAACTCCTTTGGGACTACATCCGCGAATCTTCCCCCACCAAGAGGAAGACAGAAAAAAGAATCGGAGCTGAGGAGGTAGGAATGCGCTAGGAAACTCGGTTGGGCCCACGTCCGCGACCCTTCCTCCACCCAGAGGATGAAGAAACAGAGTCTGAGCCGAGGAGGTACGAATTGACTAGGAAACTCGGATGGGCCCACGTTCGCGACCCTTCCTCCATCCAGGGAAAGACGGAAAAGAGAATCGGAACCGAGAAGGTACGAATTTGTTAGGAAATTCGGTTGGGCCCACGTCCGCGACTCTTCCTCCACCCAGAGGATGAAGAAACAGAGAGTCTGAGCCGAGGAGGTACGAATTGACTAGGAAACTCGGTTGGGCCCACGTCTAGGAAGCTTCCTCTACCCAGTGGAAGAAGGAAAGGAGACTCGGTGCCGAGGAGGCAGGAATCGAGCTCGGAACGTAAACACGCGCTCATCAGTCGGCGCATGTTCGACGGAGGTCCGCGCAGCCGAGGTTCCCCTGGGACCATGTGGCCGACGAGGATTGTCTGCACGTCTAGAGTTACCCGAGTCTGGCGGGCCGCGAGGCCGCGGCACCGGGGTTAATTGGCTGGAAAACCTTGCTATCCGATACTCGACGCCCGGCTACTGCCCCGAGATACGTAAGCGTGTGTAATCTGTATTTTCATCTGCACGTCTATCGTGCGCCGGCGTTGCACGCCGCCTCCTTCCCCCACCCTTTTTCTATCGCTCCGTTCCTCTCTACCTTCCTCTCTAACTGTACCCGAAGCAGCGTAGCGCGCAGCGAGAAAGAGACGGAGCAGAGACGAGAAAAGCGTCCGTTCCTTTTCTCCTGCGAGCTCGATTCCCTTCTGATCCGTGCCTCTGCTCTCCGGCCTTCCTTCTCCGTCTTTCTTTCCCTGTCGGCCAGGAAAGATAGGTATTGTTGCGGGTGGTCCGTGGTGCACATTGTCAGACCGGCCACCAGGTAGTGTGCAACGTTGCCGCTCGCAATGTTGCGAGCGTTGCTCTCCCTACCATCCTCCCTATTTCTTTCCTGCTTTTTCACCTTTTTTCTTCCCTCTGCCTCTCTTTTTCTGCCGCTCCTTTTCTTCCTTTTACCACGACCGAGCTTCGTTTTCCTCTCGTTCCCCCGGATATATATAGGCGAGGATGTTTTGTAATTTTGCCCCAGAAGTAGCGATAGGTTACACGTGGTCCCAGCTTTCTTTCGTAATAACAATGGCTCCAGAGTACGATACACGTTGTCGACGATAATTAAAACGATACAACGAAAATAAAGGAGCATACATAATTATCATCGCATTTTTATAAAAATCTATATTAATTTTGCTAAAAACAACGGTTTACTATCAGCAGTTGCAAAGATAAATTTCTCAATCAAGTAATTTCGACCCCTTTGGTAATTTCAGGGTTCATATACTCTGTACCTACCCTATTCAGTAGTACCCTGTGCCTTCCACCCTCTCCCTCCATTTTGTTCCATAATAAACCTCATTAACGTTTCTAACCTCTGCCAAATCTTGCCTTATACAATAATAAATTTTCTTCCACCTTATTCATCGCCATCTCCGTTCAATCTTCGTCGCTTCTTCGTCTGCCTGCGGCGCGTTTCAACGGGGAGGTGGTGCACACGTTGGTAGACGCAACCCGCGGCCAGCTACTTATCATCGTCAAAGCCCACGCGGCCAATTTAAAGCGCTTCGGCTGCCGTTCCGGCCTCGCCGCCCTTTAACCGCTGGAATCTGTTCTTTTTCTTGAAAATCGTAGGCGGGTACTGTCCGCGGCGGCTCGTAAACCTGCTCCGATGAATCGGCAGCCACGACGCAGCGCGGGTGGCTACTTTCTATGGGGGTTAACGCGCAACGCCAACGGTAACCGCTTCGATTTAGATGCTAATGTACACGTATGAAATCGCCACTATTCGTGCTGGGTCGTACGAGTTGGAAAGATTGCACTTGGGAAACGGGGATCCTTGGCAAGTTGGATTTCCTGGTTGATGATTTGGAGGTTAGGTGTGGAATATGGTCGCCACTATTCGTGCTGGGTCGTACGAGTTGGAAAGATTGCACTTGGGAAACGGGGATCCTTGGGAAGTTGGGTTTCCTGGTTGATGATTTGGAGGTTAGGTGTGGAATATGGTGGTAATTGGCTCGACTGTGAGCGGTCTGTGAGTGTGGGTTGCTTTGGAGAATTTTTCCTGGGGTAAAACGGATGCTTCAATTTGCAGTTATCGTGTTGGGGGTGAAGATTGATTTCAGGGGATATTTGATGGGAAATAATGTTATATTGGAATTGAAAGAAATGAAAATATATGGGAAATAGTATTGTTAAAAGATTCTCTAAATCTGCAGGAAGCTTCTATAATTTTATTGCGAATTAAATAAGTATGCACAATTTTTAATTAAGTTACAGTGTTAGGGGTTAAGTAGGTACTATAGTTATAGAGTAGTATTATAAAACGAACCAGCATCGTTTAATTAAAAGAAGAATATATGAGCTGTTTATTTTGAAAGTGGTATTTATGTTCGAATCGAAATATTGCAAAATATGAGTAGCAGGTAACATAGAATAATTTTTTGGGTTTCTGAGGGTGTCAAATTTATCATAAATATTATTAAATGTTATTTCATAAAAGATTCTCACTATTGCATCGTCACCATATCGATAACAGTATCTCTAAGTATCCCATACATTCCAGACTACTACCAAAGAGATCTAAATTTAAATCTGGTGTATAAAATTGCTAGGAAACTGGTGAAGTGAAAATAGATTCTACAAAAATTCAAGATCACGCATCGTGACCTAATGATACCTAAATTTAAAAGACTTTTCGACTATGAAAGAAAAAATAACATAGAGAAAATATTAATGGAATATATAATATTATATAATATATAAATATTAAGGAAAATGACTAGCAAAATGATCTAGCAACATCTAAATTTAAAAC